ACAGTGATTTCTGAATTTCTATTGAGCTCCACCTGAGTGTAAATAGCTAGCCATGTGTAACTGAGTCTCCATGAAACCGGAGATGACCTTCCAACCTCAAACTGGATCCATTCACTGTCCATTATCAGAGATGTGTCTTTTATGTGATTTGGCTAAAATGTTCCCAAAGACATGTGGTGTGCAAAGTAATCACCCAATCTAGTTTGAGCCAGCCTCTGTGATGACCTGGGGGAAACCTGTGACCACATGGTGTCAGGGAAACCTGGATGCCCAGAATACCTTCTGGATAAAGAGGGAAGCCCAACACTATGGGACAAAGAGACCTCCTTGGCCTCAAGCACAATCATATCCACATGCTCATCCACAGAACCTGTGCCTCTGTTACCTTATCTGGCAGAAAGAGGCTTTGCAAATCACGTTAAGTTAAGGAACTTGGAGTGTAGATTATCCATGGGAGCTCAAGATAACAAAGGTTTTGTAAGTGAAAGAGGGACCCAGAGTCACTGTTGTGCAATGGGAGGGATAAGCACAACCTGCAGAAGCTTGAAGAGTTAAGTAAGCAGAGTGTGCCCTGGACCTGCAGAGGACACAGCCCTGAGGGGAACTTGACTGGAGCGCAGAGGTCATCTTGCACTTCAGACCTGCAGTGCTGTAATGATCTGAGTTCTTCTAAGCCACTGTTTGTTACACTAGAAATAGGAAGGTAAAATACAGGATGTGTGTTTGTGTGTGTGTGTGAGTTTCTTTACTACAGTAACTTCTGAAGGTTAGTGATTTCTATGCATGTCATTCAGTGATGGTTTTGGGGCAAAGAAAGAGCCAGAATCCTGGGTAGTGCACTTCCATTTTCTTTGGGTTGGCTGCTGTCACAATAACATGACAGGCAGGACCTGCCCTCTGACAGTTTTGTCATTGTGGGCTCATAGAGGGTACCTACACAATGTCACATGGATGGGGTGTCACAAAGTTCTCTAATCTTGTGGAACTGCCATCACATGTGAGATCTGTCATTGACTAAAAAGTCATTTGTGGAGTGTGAATGCATTTTTGAGGGTTTTTACGTTTATGAGAAAAGTTGATCTGTACTTCGTTTTCTCTAAAGTTTTTCTGATTTTCATGTTAGGATAATGCCACATAGAATGAGTTAAGTTCAGGTTCAATGGCCTCACTTTCTGGACCTTTGGGTAGTTGTCTTGGTGGGCTTCCACCTCTCTTTCTCCATCTTTTATCTGAAGTGAACCTTGCAGGAAGAGGAGAGCCCTGGCTGAACCTCCCGGTCCTCCCCCTTCATGACCCCATGCACATATGCACTCTGGTCCTGTTATGTCTCATCAGTGTCTGTGAAGCTTATTTTCTGACCCCATGGAGGAAGTAGTCACTGCCATGAGGTCTCAGCAAGGCCCAAGGACTGTGCGTGACAGTCACCACCATGTGATGTCAACCCACAGGCATATCCCTGATGCTGGATTCTACATGGGACCCACCCACACCATAGGTTCACAAGTCCTTCTCACATAATGCCAGGTGAACTCCAGATACTGGGATGCAGGACAGATGACAAGTGAGGTGTGAACAGACTCATCCTTCCTGTCCCAAAAATGGAAACACATGGATCATACTACCTTCATCCATCACTGTCACTTTTCCAAGGTCTCAGACACTGATATTTGAAGCCATCATGGAGAGAGGTGGACTCTAAAGCAGCACCAAACACAAAGTCTGGATGGGTAGAACAGAGACAGCCCACTCAAATTCCAAATCCTCACCCTTGAGCCATCGTGGAACTCCAATATGTGAGACCCGGGCTCAGCATGGTTCTCATGGAGGGTGAGTGGATATCATCAGCACTATCCTCTCCTTGCATCCTCAAAGGCAGAAGAGATGTTTGTCTCTAAATTTTGTCCTGGTGCATTTGAGATGTGGGTTCCTTGCCTTTCATCCTGGAGCTCAGTTTGTCTCTAGGCAAGTAACAATGCCATACAAAAAGGTCCTTCAACATCCCATCTAAGCTGTTGTTGTGACATGAAAAATCCACCCAGGATTGTCTAACCTGGGAAGACTTAGAGATTAACACAACTATTTATGAGAGGAAGAAATGGGATCTGGGACAGAACCAGGCTGCTCCTAAAATTCCCATGTTGGGCTCTCATCACTCTGTGGCATAATTGGAAAATTCCCAAGTATGGAACTCAGAGTTCATTACAGGTAAAAATCAATTTCTGAAAAAGGAGAAGTTGTGTATATTATTTGGGACAATGTATTGGGAAATAGCAGTTTTGCTTCCCATAAAATTTCAGTGTTGAAACTGAGACTAGGTGGTACACACACACCCATGGCATCCACTCATCCAGTGAGATCTTGAGCTCTCCACTCTCATCCCCTCCACATGGTGGGGCAGAATGGAAAATCATAGTGGTTCTGAAACTCAACATCCAACTCTGCCCACACCATGGGGAAGGACAATCAGCTTCTTTATTGGTCAATAAAACATGTCCTCTGTGAGGTTTTTATACTAACATGTATATTGTTGACTTCTCCGTGGAAGAAAAGGCCAGGGGGGCGGCACTGGAGATGCCTTTTCTTATGGAACAGCGACACAAATGTCACTTCTCATTCATAGATAGATATGAGAGTCAGAGTCCAATCAAGTACAGTACATCCAACTCTCCTGGGTGGCAGAAGACAAAGGACCATGTAGCCTGCAGTAGGTGTGGGAATCAAGTGCTGATTCCAACTCCAGCTGCTGCTCCTGAAAAGGTTGCATTACTAAGAAAAAGTCACACATCCCTATACCTAGAGGCAGCTATGGATCTAACAGAAGTCTCTTTTCAAAGGGTTTTAAGGTTGAGAATCAGAGGTGCTTCTCCACTGTCCTATGCAGGTTTGTGTCAACCCAGCCTCTGCCATGTGGTCTGCAGGTGAGGAGTTCCTCCATTGAGCAGTATGCCCTGGGACATCACAGTGACGGAGCATGAGATGGAGCTCTAATAGCTGCTGTGCTATTTGAGGGTGTTGGGGAAAACAATGTGTTTCTGAGAGTTGAATGTAAATCTATCAGAATTTAGGTTCTTGGTACCTTCATCGAACCCTAGGAGTCCAGATTCCTGAACATGCTGAGATGGCCCATACAAAGTGAAGAAATGTTGCACTGGACACATGTACAATAAGTAAAAAAGCCCCAAATCTATTGGGCCTCTTCTAAAATTTAAGTACACCATGTGCCTCCTTCTTTTTGTGATCACAATCACTTCATTAAGAACCTTGAAAGGCATCTGGCTCAGATGGGGCCAAAAACAAGAGAAAACATTGCAACAGATACAGGCTGTAGAAAAACTGAGCAACAGGATCCAGCAGAGTCCATGTGTGGAGCATCTGTTGCAGGATTCTGTGATGAGTCCCAGCATAGACCTAAAGATTTTAGAGTCACACTGTGACATGTCTTCAGAGAGCCATTCTTCTTTGGGGAAGTGACTTCTGTATTTCTATTGAGCTCCACTTGAGTGTGAATGCCTGGATACATGTAGCCAAGTCATCATGGAACCAGAGGTGATCATCATGACCCACCCAACCCTAAATTGAACTCATCCATGGTCCACTGTCAGAGAAGTGACTCATAAGTGTTTTGGCTGAAGAAGTTCCCAAAGACATATGATATACAAAATAGAAAACTGAACCTCTGGTCTGAGCCAGGCTCTGTGACAACCTGGGGAACTCCTGTGACCACATGGTGACACAGGAACCTGGATGTCCAGTATACCTTCTGCATATAGAGGTAAGCTGACAATCATGGACAAACAGACATCACTGACTTCACACACAGTCAATTTCATATACTCATCCCCAGAACCTATGACAGTGTTACCTTACCTAACAGAAAGGGGCTTTGCCAACTAGCTTAAGTTAAGGATCTAGGAAGGAAGATTACCCAGAGGATCACAACATAATAACAAGGTCCTAGAAAGTGAAAGAGGGAGGTAGGGACACATTATCAGAGATGGAGTTGAGAAAGTGGAGCAGAGGTGGGAACAGCATGCTTATCTGTGTGATTAGAGGGATGAGGATACACAGGATGCACAGCCTGTGGGAGCTTGAAGAGGTCAGTGAGCAGACTCTGCCCTGGGCCTTCAGAGGACACAGCCCTTAGGGGAGCTTGACTGGGTCCCAGAGGTCACCTTGCCCTTCAGACCTGGAGAAGAGTAATATAGTGATCTCAGTTGTTTTCTGACACTGTTTGTTAGAGCAGAAATAGGAAGGTTATATATTCTGTGTGTATGTTCTGTGTGTGTGTGTGTGTGTGTGTGTGTGTGTGTGTATTTACAACACTAAGTGCTGAAAGTTAGTGATTTTGGACTATGTCATTCTGTGATGTACAATGTAGATGATTTCAGGGCAAAGAAGAAGATAGAGCCAGATGGAAGTAGCCAGAGGTCACAGACTTTACCATTTCTGTCTCATGTGTCTGCCAAGAGACTCGTGTTCGCCACACCCCAGTGCTCCAGAAATGAGAACCAGGTTCCTATACAGTACATTTCCATTTCCTGTGGGGCTCCTGATGTCACAACCATATGCGAGGCAGACCTGCATTCTGAGTAGTCACACTTTGCTTATCTCTCCATCTTTCCAACTGGGCACCTTATTCTTATCCATCTGTGCATCCCTGCTCTGCCTGGGTAAGATGTGAAGAGGGGAAGGGAGTTCTCTAGTCTGGGAGGGATGCCACCCCAAAGCCAGGTCTTAGACATCAAGAGACCCCAGAGGCACAGGAGACTCTGGAGAGGAGAGGACATGCTCAGTCTTCAGGTACAAACTTTCAAAAGGAACTCTCTTCCAGGACTAAGTCTGGACTCCTGGACGTGAGTGCTGACAGGTGAGTTTGTCCTCAAATGTCCCATTTTCCTCCCTTCACTGGGGAAAAGATGACATATTGGGCATTGAGGATGGAAAACCTCAGGTGTGGCTGATGCTGGATGTGCCTGAATGGTCCTTCTTTGAGAGCTGGAATGCAGTGGGGGATTTCCAGAGACCCAGCCTTTGATTTCCTTGCAGAGATTCTCCCCAAACCTACCCTCTGGGCTGAACCACGCTCTATGAACAACTGGGGTATGCTGGTGACCATATGGTGTGAAGGCAACCTGGAGGCCCAGGAGTACAATCTGTTTAAAGACAAAAGCTCAGCACCTTGGGACACTCAGAAGCCTCTGCAGTCCAGCAACAAGGCCAAGTTCTCCATCACGTACATGACAGACTGAAATGCAGGGAGATATCACTGTAACTATCTCAGCCCTGCTGACTGGTCAGAGAACAGCAACCCTCTGGAGCTGGTGGTAACAGGTGAGAGGACACTCAGGGGTCCCAACATCTGGCTCTGCCCCCAGGAATGGGGTCTGCTGTCAGGGGTGACCCATGTCACAGCTGAGCCCTTGAACTACATGAGAGATGTGAGCCAATTTGACACACTGACACCTTCTCTCCTAGGAGCCTACAGAAAACCCAGCCTCTCAGTCCTGTCCAGACCTTTGGTGACCTCAGGAGGAAATGTGACCCTCCAGTGTGTCTCATGGAAGGGATATGACAGGTTCATTCTGACTAAAGAAGGAGAACACAAGGTCTCCTGGACCCTGGACTCTCAGAGAAATGCCATTGGGCAATTACAGGCCCTGTTCCTTGTGGGCCCTGTGACTCCCAGTCACAGGTGGATATTCAGATGCTTTGTCTATTACAAGAACCAACCTCAGGTGTGGTCAGAACCCAGTGATACCCTGGAGCTCCTGATATCAGGTGAGATTGCTTACGTTTGACCCAATTACTTTTGAATCCCTAACACTTTGTCATGAGCCCTGTTCCCAGTGGGAGGGAAGCTGTGTCACCCTGAGTTAAAGACCCAGACTTGAGAGACAGTGTGGCAGGAATCTACTGTTTAGCCCCTGACCTGTCTTCTTTCCAGGGATGTCTAGAAAGCCATCCCTCAAGAACAAACATGGCCTTATCTTGGTCCCTGGAGGGACATTGACCCTCCAATGTCACTCTGCATGTGGCTATGACAGATTTTCTGTGGAAAGAGGAGGAGGCATGACCTCACCCAGCAGCATGTCCAGCAGCCCCAGACTGGGCTCTCAAGACAAATTCCCACTAGGACCTGTGAGCAGCTCCCATGGGGTCTGGTAAAGATGTACGATTCACACAGCCAGTCCAATGAGTGTTCAGACACCAATGAACCCCTGGACATCCCAATCACAGGCAAAGAACCCAGCAGGGTCAGTCAGAGACAAGACTGCACAGCCCATGCTGGTGGATCCCCACAGGTGATGGCCAGGATGAGGTCTGTGTGCCTCAGATTAGGACATTAAAACTGTGTAGAGGTAGGGAGGGGAAGAGAGAAAAGAGAAACAGAAAGATGTTGATTCTCAGAGACAGGTCTTTTGAGGTCTCAGCTGAGAACAAGGTGAGGCAGCCCCTCACCCTCACCCTCCATTTTCACTCTATGCCAGCTCCCTGAGAGACCTTCAGCAGCAAGGAGGGCAGCCAATTTCTCAAACCACCTCACCCCACCCAGGTCTCATATCAAAGTGCTGAGTGCTCGGCAGCATCAGGCATAATCTTCCATGACTTCTGTGATCTCAGCACTCAGGGCACTAGTGGTGCTCTGAGTTTCACAGCTCATTCCCCTACCCCTTGTATCTTCCCCAGTGACCCTCTTAACTCCTAGTCTCAGGTAATGAACCCTGAGCCTATCCACTCTAAGCTCAAAGGATCACTCAGGGGCTTGCTCCCAGGATAGTTCTTAACTGGGTTGGGAGTGAGGCAACTGGAGGGAGTCTCAGCTAGAGGGAGAGTGGCCCTCAGATAGGGGTAGGAATGCAGGGGTCCTCCCAGACATGTGCACCCCTCCTTTTCATTGGAATCCAGAACATACTATATGGACATTGAGAGTTCCTTGAGGAGGCCACAGGGTAGATGTAGGGGAGTGAACAGAGATGGGGCTTTCAGACACAGCCCCTATCCCTCACTCTATTCTTGTGCTTATTCACAGGACCCTCTGGGATACAAACACCCCCATAATCAGGGCCCATCTGAACCGATGGTTAGTCTCAGGTGCCTCTGTCCAAGGAGTTTCTTGGGTCTCCAGGCTGCCTGGAGACATCTCAGACTATCTAAGTTCTTGTTTCTGAGCCACCTCTGCTTGTTTCCAGGGGTTTTGGGTCACATGGAAAAGTGGGTGGTAACCCCAAAAGTATAGGGTCTAAAGGCAGGACTGAATGTGGGTGGGTCAAGACAGAGGCAGATGTTGGGGCTAAGCTTATAGAAAATAACTAGAGTGAGGTGGGGATCAGGCAGCCCAGTGCCTCATCTCCCATGCATCCCCACAGGCCCTGAGTATCAGCTGAGCACCCCCATGGTGTCAGGACCCCAGAGAGGTAAGCACGAAGCTCATTAGGAGGTGGAGTCCAGATGGGCATGGATTGAGTCATAGGGTTTGTGGAGAATCCTGTGAGATGTTTACTTGGACAAGCCCCTGTGCCATCTTGGCCTCAGTTTCTCCAAGTATAAAGGAAAGGTTTGGACTAGAACTTCAAATTCCTTTTAGTGTTGACCTTGGCTGTGACCTCTTGGGAGAGGAGGCCACCCTGGGGAGACTCCAAGACCCAATTGTGTAGTTACTTGTCTCCTCTGCCACAGTGATGGTGACATTGTGCAGGAATGGGCACAGGGCTGTGACAAGGACATTTAGATTCTTTCCCTCCTGTTCAGGAGGCTCAGCTTTGGTGCAGACATCCAGGCTGGAAGTCAGGCTCCCCAGGTCCAATCTCAGCTCTGCTGCTTCCTGTTGGGTGACCTGGGGCAGGCGATTTGCCTCTCTGATCCTCAGTTTCCTCCTTTGTAAACTAGCTGGGATGGGGTGGCAATCCCATGTTACAGGAGTGTGAGGGTCAGAGACAAAGGGTACAAATTACCCAACGTGGGCATATCACACAGTACATGGTCAGATGAGTGGCATTGTTCCTCATTCACTACATCACATGTCCCCAAGGACTGCAGTCGTACCAGCTGGTTCTGATTGGGATCTCAGTGGCCTTCCTCCTGCTGCTCCTTCTCTTTCTCTACCTCTTCTGGCATGGATGTCAGGGAAAAGGCAGGAGGTCAGGTGAGCAGGGAGTGGGTGACATGGGCCGCAGGTGTGGGTGGGCTTCCTCAAGAACTGAACAAGTTTGGCTCTGGACACCAAGCCCCAGGAACACCGTCCAGATGCAGACAGAAAGGTGAGAAACCCTTCTGCAGAAACTCAAATCAGAAAACCTAAAACAGGAAACACTTAAACTTGGTATCTGTGCAAATCTTAGACATTCTCTGAGCTTTTCCACCTCAGGAACTTCTGGACATGAGAGCAGTGTGTTTAAAGTCACTGTCTTTCCCTGCAGGGGCCTGTGAGGTGGATTTTGCCCTCTGATCTGAGATTCTTCCCTGTCACGCAGCCCACAGAGAGGCCAACTTCCAACATCCTGCAGGGGCCATGGAGCCAGTGTCCAGGGACAGAGGCCTTCAGAAGAGGTAATTCTTGCTCAAGGATGTAGACCCCCACCTGCCTATCATCCTCACTGATACCTGCTGCCCTTGTCTCCCCAGCTGCAGCCCAGCTTCTGAGTTCCTGGAAGAAAACCTTTGTGAGAGGAAGAGGGACCCTGGGAGGCCAATGCTTGAGGGCTCAATACCACAGTGGGAGGAAGTGGGCTTGGGGTGGGTCAGACTGAACCCCACATTGTGAACCTGGGGACAACACCAGAAGATGACACCCAGTTCTGCCCCCACAGATGCAGCTGTGAAGGACACACAGACTGAGTACCAGGTGGCACTGAACAGTGGGGTGAGACTCCCAAACCATCCATGGCTCCAGGAACTTCTGTTGCCCAATTTCATCCAAGGAACCCTCTCTGACCTCCTCTCATTCAGCACTTTGAGAAATCCATTCCTGATACCTTTCTTCTTGGAACTCTTATCTCCACCTGCTGTAAACTCTCTTTCTCTCCTAGCTTTTTTGTAACCTCATGGCGCCTCCCTCCTGTCTGTTTCCTGCCTCCTCAACCTCTGCCTGGCTGTTAGTCTGCTCCTGGGTCTCAGAAGCACACATGAGTAAATAAGCCCTGTATGCACCTCAGGACCCTCCACTCCTTCCACAAGCCATGCACAGGAAGCCCCATCTTGACCAGGCTCCCTGCATGGGCTGCGGATGCAGCAGTGCCTGGAATCCCCTCTGCCCTAAGTTCACCTTGCGATTGGGAGACAACATCAAATAAATGCTACGTATTAGGAGTGCAGAGAAAGAAGAGCTTGGGTCAGAAAGGCCAGTGTGAATTACAAGGAGACTCTGATAAGTTGTCTTCTGAGAAGTATGGATGGAGAGGAAGCACAAACATCTAGTACAGTAGTTCCTGCTCACAGGTCCTGGGACAGGAACAACTTTTTCACATAGGCTACTTTGGCTGAAGCCATGTGAACAAGGGTCAGAGTGTTAGGATGAGAGCTCAGAACTGTAGGAAGGAAGCTGTCCAATGTTCAGAGGTCTTAGGAAGCTCCTGAATAGTCTGTCATGAATGACATAATCTGATTTAAGTTTTGAAAGTATCACTTGAGCCAGCATGAGGAAAACTGGCTGAGGAGATCCAGATGGCACCAGGAGGATCTGTCTCTGTCTCACTGTCTCCCTGCAGCAGGGCCCACCTGATGAAGACTCCCAGGGAGTGACCTACATCCAGGTGAAGCACTCCAGACTAGGAGGGGAAGGGCTGCCTGTCATTCCCTGATGTCAGGGGAATTCCTGCACACGAAGGACACACTGGTAGGGACAGACAGGTGGACACTCAAGTGGGTCTTGTTTTCCCCAGGCCCTGGCTCCCCAACACCAAGTGTGCGCCTTCCTGCTTACTCTCTCCTCTCCAGGCTGCTGTTCCTAAGGGTCTTCAGGAAGTGACCTACACCCAGTTGGCACTCAGACAGAGAACAAGTGCACTTACTTCCTCCCAGTCAGAGGAGCCCAGCTGAGACCGGGGAGTCACTGCTCTGGCGTCCACCACCCCAGGGAGACCATGAATCCTCACTCATGGAGGATCTTCAAAGGACATGGAAATTGCCCTGGTGGACATTGACTGATGAAACACACATTGCACCTGGCAGCAGGACCCTCCAGGACCTTGTGGGTCTAACCTCATTAGGCTGTCAGAGACAACTGATATCTTGATATTTGAAAATAAAACAAAAGACTTGTTGATAAACAATGTGTTATGTGAGAAAACAAACTGGTGAGAGAAGTTTTGAATTGGACAATCATGTAACCATGGCACATTAAAACATGATGCTGGAAATTTCACAGCCATTAACAAATGAAGAAGTTTTTAAAACCTTAAAGTTAAATGACCCTGTCTATCATTGTGAGAATACAGAAAGAGAATAGCAATCTCTTCTGAATGAAAGCAAGGGAAGGAAATAATGTGGTAGAGTAGCTACTAGTGAGGACAAAGAGACATACAAATAAATATAAATAATACCCAAAAAGTTCATGTTTCAAAAATGAATGACATTTATAATTCTCAGACACAGTGACCAAGAAAGACAGAGAGCCCATTACATTTCCACAGAGAAGTGAGACAAAGCACATATTCATGTAAAGAAACAGAGCGCTATGAACATTTTATGTTCACAGATTGAAAATGTAAACAAAGGGACAAAATTTTCCACATTTAGTTTATAGAATAGACATAAGAATAAATAAAAGATGTGGATTGCTTTAAAACCTTAACTGCAGTTGTGCAGGACTTAATGCCAGGGCTATGTTCCAATAAATGTGACTTTTGTCTATCTTCATTGTGTGAAAGTCACAGTTACACAAACCCAGAAGGTGTAGCTCACTGCACACAGAGGCCACATGTTGTTGCCCACAGTTCCTAGGCTACAAACCTGCACAAATACTATTAAGAACATTCCTGGAAACAGTAACACAGTAGATGGTAAGTTCCAATATTTCTAAAAGTATCTAAACACAGAAAAGGTTGACTAAATGTTCTAGATTAAAGGAATTTTCCAGCCCCATGAAAACCTTGCAGGACTTCCATGCCATACATGGTCCAAATTTGTTATATGGCATGTGACTGTACATTGACTTGGTAGTGAAAAATTCCACCTTAATTCCAATACAGGACTCTTCATTAGTGATGTCTTCTAAGTAATTATGCACTTTTCAAACACAGCATGTACACATACAAATGCAATACACACCCCAACATAAACAATCACTGAGAATAGAGAAAAGAGGAAATATTCCCAAACACATTTCATCAGGCAATGAAAAAATGAATACAAACCTTGGCAAACAAAGTACAATATTGGAAAGTCATATGAAAATGTTTCCCATGAACTTAGATGTAAATCCTAAAAAGTATCACAATTATCCTTCATTCTACTCAAAAAGGCAATAAGGACCACACTGGATTGTTGGTTTTGCTAATGGAAAACAAGGATAGCTTAATTTAAAAAACCAATCATTATTCTTTAATAACCTAACAGAGATCATTAAATTTTTCCATCTCAATCTATGCAAACAGAGCTTTATTTTTACACATGGAACGTGTCTTTTTTTGTACATTTTTATTAGTATACATAGTTGTACAGGGGTTTCATGAGACATTCTTATACATGCTTACAATGTATCTTGGTTCAGTTCACCCACCATCACAAATCTTTTTCTAATTATACACAATGCAAAACCTTAATTGCAGAAACAAACACGTTCATAAGTAAGATAAGATCCTTCACTAGAGATCTATAAGTTCAAGCATGAAAGATTCCCCCTTGAACATGAATTTGATGGCACATACAGAGGTAAGATTGGCCCCCCAAAGCTGTGGTCCCACCATAGAGAAGCTGAGTAAACACTGGATGCAAACATGAGAGGATGGCTTCCTTCACTGTGCCTGTGAGAGAACAAGACACACATAAGCACCAGTGATGCTGATGAGAGTGAATAAATGAATGATCAGAGGTTATTGAACATAACCTTTGATATTCCCTATAGAATTACTTAATTACAGAAAAGAACCGTCATTCAAAAATAGTATGACAAAGCAATGTATATGTCATTTTATAGGAGACAAAAATTTAGTGATACAGCATGGTATAGGAGATTTTCTGGAAGGAAGCAACACATGATTCCTTAGAAATAAAATGCTATCAAGCTGGGTGTCAGAGGCTCACGCCTGTAATCCTAGCTACTCAGGAGGCTGAGAACAGGAATATCTCAGTTCAAAGACAGCCCAGGGAAATAGTTTGTGAAACTTCATAGCCAAAAAACATATCAAAATGGACTTGAGGTGTGGCTCAAGTGGTAGAGTGCCTGCATTACAAGCATGAAACCGTGGTTTCAAACTCCAGTCCTAACCTCATCACGTGGGATGAACACACTGGGTCTTAAGCAATGGCATGGTGGCATCTTGGCAAATCAGCTCTTAATAAAATCAGTGGTTGGTGATTTTGCCAATTTCTGTGATGTACACAACTCACTTCCTTCACTAATTCCAGGTGACAGTGTTTCATCACTGTGTGGAGAGTTGAAGTGAAGCACAAAATTGATTTGTCAAGCTAGTGTGAGACAGCGGCAGCCATGTCATTGTCAGCCTCAGGTGTGCCTATGTCTCCTTTTACTTAAAGATATGACAACACCGTGCTGCACCATTTCTGCACAGTATCTGAGGAACTAGGATACTAGAATCCTAGGACGTCAACATTAGGGGGAAAAGAAAAAAAGAGCAACATCAGCTTTGGGAGAAAGTTGAGCACATAAACTCCAGTCTCTTCTTATGCATTACAATAACCAATTGGTCTATGGCAGTACCTAGTTGGTTATCACTTATAGGAATTCATTGAAATGATCTACTTTGAAGGAGGGGATGCACTTCTATGGTGTTTATTCACGTACAGTAGATGAATTAGTCTGACTGTGAACCAGAACACACTCACAGGAAAATCAGTGCCTTTCATATTGGACAAAATCTTCTAAAATCAATCAATCTCCTAAAAATGAGATATAATCCTTTATACCTATGATAAAATATTACATGAAAAGTTAACACACTAACTCTACGGCAGCAATGGAGACCAGTCTTAAAGCATGATGTTGAATTAACACAGGATGGTTTAAAAGTGTGTGAGAGAATATCCTATTTACATAAATTCAAACAAAGAAAATACTTATCACTTAGGAAGGCATAGCTATGTTTGACCCGAAATAAAGAAAGGAGGAAATCCCAAGTGATACTAAATAGTGCTGACATATGTGAATTTTTAAAAGTTCTGTTTAAGAGGAAACCTTGGGGACTGACAATTGGTAGTGTCACTGACACCCAGGTTTACTAGGACACTGTTCACAGTAGCCAGGCTATGGAATCGGCCTAGGTACCCATCAACAGATGAATAGATTTTAAAAATGTGGTATATAAAGAGAATTGAGTTTCACTCACAAATAAGAAATCATGTCACTTTTTTGGAAAATGGATGAACTGGAGACTATCATAGTAAATGAAATAAGCCAGACCCAGGAAGTCAAATATCACTTAGCTTTTCTCACATGCAGAATCTATATTATTAAGACATGAGAGAAGAAGGGGGATGATTTTCAAATGAGGAGGAGTAACAAGACAGGATAATGGGGTAAAAATAATCAGAGTATTTTGTATATGAAAATGTGGTGATGAAACCCAATGTTTTGTACAATTACTAAATAAAATAAAATAAAACCAATATATAAACGATCTAAATAAAAATACAAGAAAAGCTTTTGATTCAATTGCAAAATTTGATCATTCTCAACAAAAGGGATTGGGTCTAAGATGTGCTCCAGCTCCAGCCATGCTACATGCTGAGAAGACACGGCTGAATCTGAACAATTTCCAGGAAGCCATCTTCCTCACTCAGCCACATGCAAGGCAATGATAACCTGTGTGTGTCACCTTTCCGTGATATGGTCAATGGTTCACCAGAGGATCTGGGCCCCTCACAACATCCTGTGCACTTCTGCTGGCCTGCCACCCTCCCATCCGGAGGGTCAGCACCATGTTGCCCACACTCATCACTGTGCTGTGTCCTGGTGAGTCCTGCTGAGAATGAAGGATAGGGAGCATTGGGGTGGAAATGTTGTCCTGGTAGTCTGGCCCTGGCTCAGAAGAGAGCACTGCTTCCACAGTGTGGGTGGACACTGGGGGCAGAGCTGACCTTTAGAGCAGGGTGCAGCTCACCTGGTCTGTGTCTTTGTGGCACTATTCACAATAGCCAAGTTATGGAAACAGCCAAGATGCCCCACCACTGATGAATGGATTAAGAAAATGTGGTATCTATACACAATGAAATTTTATGCAGCCATGAAGAAGAATGAAATGTTATCATTCGCTGGTAAATGGATGGAATTGGAGAACATCATTCTGAGTGAGGTTAGCTTGACCCAAAAGACCAAAAATCGTATGTTCTCCTTCATATGTGGACATTAGATCAAGGGCAAACACAACAAGGGGATTGGACTATGAGCACATGATAAAAGCAAGAGCACACAAGGGAGGGGTGAGGATAGGTAAGACACCTAAAAAACTAGCTAGCATTTGTTGTCCTTAACGCAGAGAAACTAAAGCAGATACCTTAAAAGCAACGAGACCAAAAGGAGAAGGGGAACAGGTACTAGAGAAAAGGTTAGATGAAAAAGAATTAACCTAGAAGGTGACACCCACGCACAGGAAATCAATGTGAGTCAATGCCCTGTATAGCCATCCTTATCTCAACCAGCAAAAACCCTTGTCCCTTCCTGTTATTGCTTATACTCTCTCTACAACAAAATTAGAAATAAGGGCAAAATAGTTTCTGCTTGGTATTGAGGTGGGGGGAGAGGGAGAGGGCGGAGTGGGTGGTAAGGGAGGGGGTGGGGGCAGGGGGGAGAAATGAACCAAGCCTTGTATGCACATATGAATAATAAAAAAATAGAGCAGGGTGCAGCTGCCAGAGATCAC